TCGACAAAAAGTAGAACAAAATATTGTTAGCTGGCTTTTCACGCGCCGATCTTTCTCTTTTTTTGTCATTTTCAATGTTTAAAGTATTTAACATGTTAATCAATACAATGCTGTACACAATTCTTCAACTGATTCCGGTTGCGGGCCATATCTTCAAGAATATCAAGCCATTGGTACTTTTCATCTTTGGGTCCCCACCCTGGAAGACGTACGGATCCAACAGCGGCTAGACACGACGTCAGCCATTTCATGTGCTGCCGCCATGTAGAAGGCTGATCACCACGCGGTCACCTCCAGCCAGGTCCTTGATGAGCGAATAGAGCGCGACGCGGTAGACCCTCAGGTGCCATGCGTAGGACTTGACCGAGCCATCTCAACTGGCGCAACGAAATCAGTTGTTGAAGGCAATACTCGTATTCCACAAGAAGCGACGTCGAACGTCATTACTATTAACTCGATGTTGCCACCAAATACGAAAAGGTAGTTCGGCAAGCGTCCGGGCCCAGAAAACATCAAGGTAATAAAGAAGATGCCGCCGCCCAAAGATTTTGCAACGCTAAGGTCCTTCATGGGACTCATAAGTCATTACTGCCAATTCCTACCGCATATGCATCACCTGTGTGGTCCACTCAATGACCTATGGACTAAGGATAAACGCTGAAACCGTTCTGAAGAATGCCAGAGCTCATTTGAAAAGGTAAAAGGCTACTATGTCCCAACCTTCTGTTGACACATTACGACCCTACTTTGGAGATGGTGGTGGCCATCGACGCCTCGAACTATGGCACTAGTGGCAGTTGGTCACTCGATTGAACTTGCACTTATAAGTACATCGATCACAAAGTTGAAGAAAGGAGATATAGGGTAAAGTTGGCGAACCCCATTTACCGTGAGAAACTCAGAAGACAATTCCCCGCAAATCCGCGATAGAGACTCCGGGATGGAAAGAAGTTTCCATGGCACCCCGTACAGGAATAGTTATTACCACAAGTTGACACGATCAACAGAATCTAAGGCGCCTTTCAAGTCTAAGTCAACCTAGACTGTCACGCAGCAAGATCGTCGTGCCTACTGAACATCCCTCGGTGGATTATGACAGATATCTCACATTACTAATATGCGTGACATCCCCCCAACACTCAGTATAAACCTAAATATTAGGGCCCAAAGTGTGAGTTACAAAGATCATAGTCCTATAATTCTGTCTATTGCTTTTAAGATATCAACAATCATAAATCGTATTGATCAATTTTCTGGACAGTGTTCAATATTCGCAGCAAATGCATAACAGGTCTTCTAGCTACCATTTATACCTATGGTAAGTGAAATCGTAATGAAGAGTCAGCAAAGCAAACTAAACCGACGACGTAGCAACTGCGTGATATAGAAATTGGGGCTACTTGTCACCGACGGAGAGTGCTTGTGAAAGTACGTCCGAAGTTGACGAAAGCAGTAAGTTCACAAAGTCCAGCGTACAGCTGACCAGTGGTCCTCAACATATTTGTGGTTGTTACCCTCAAAGCGGATTCATTCAATACAAGTGACCTCAAAAATAGTTTAAAAAGCAAATTACCTACTAACTATTGCATTCCTTGCTCATAATTACTGAAAGCAAATACAGTTTAATTACCGGTGATCATTAACATGAAGAAAACATATTGTTGAGTAACGTTTAAATAGTCAAGTGGTGAGGTAGGTTAATGAGACCGCTGATATTGTCTAGTTCTAGCAGTTTATGGTATATTTTGTGCAGTTTCGGCTAATGTACATAGGAAGTCGTGCTCCAATTTCATTCGGATTCTTGCTATGGTGTGTGATCCCGATCAATCATGAACAATGTCTATGGCTTTACATTTGTCACAAACATCCCTTCCAAGTCCGTCCTGGATGACAGCTTCCCACCACCACTACGTATCGACACGTCCTAATCAATAATCGTCTACTTTCTCCCTTCTACTTTGCGAACATTCGCTCGCTCCTTGACCTGGTCTGCCGGCTAATATCCCCACCTTAGTGTTCATACAATTCTGTTATTTGACGAGGCGGACGACTGCCTGACTCAAAAGAACACGAACGAGCCGACAGGGAGCTCATCTAGCTGCGCTGTTTTGCAGGCTTGTGATTGTATTTGAGGCTACAAAATTTATTATCGAAAATTGTCTACTTCACTGACCACTTACTAATGATTATTCACTGACAGCTAATCAATAGTGATAAGGTAGTTTGGTTATATGAATTGATACAGATTAGTTTGATATTAATGTTGTTTTGCAACAGAATAATAACCTAATAACCTAAAATTCCATTTTACTTCCTTGGGGGTAAATACCCCCCGGTTGAGAACCACTGTCTTTGACTGCTAGATTAAACCCCTCGTCAGCCTTCCTTATCCTGCTAAAACCATAGCGCAATTCCAAAGTGTTTGCCCTATCTGCTGCATACAGCAGGACGGATAAGTGAAAACATGCCACTGCCAATGACTCCATTCCCTACCATTTGTTTCGTATATTCCTTCAACTACCCCATATCTAGTTTTCCTTACACAATCATCATCTTGATTGAGGGCAGTCGCATTGGAGTCCTGCCATTTACAGCTACATTTCAGAAGTAACTCATGTATTAATGTCATAAACAGCCCCTTATCACATCAGGTTGACCTGTTTTTCTAGCTGCGTTCAAGGTTGGTAACATAACACACGTATGAGAGCAGACTGCATCTCTACGAACAGTGGACACACTAAGTGTCGACTTAGTTGCTTGTCTAAAAGACTAGGATCAATGGCTCTCAACCGTCTAACGAACTTAGTGAGTTTTGTGCTCTCTCTCTCTCTTGGTTACATGCAACTGGGGATGCTGATGCGGCAACTACTGGACGTGCTTGGGTGATTATCTCTGTTCCAGAGCCGGGGCTCCGTTCGTTGATAAGATTCCCGTGAGGAACTGATTCCGTGCAGCCAGTCGACCAGATTGGTCGGAGGAGAGGCCAGGTGATGGCTTAGCCAAGCAGAATGAAGGCTCTCACTTCGAACTTGGCGTCGGTTGAGGTCTCCCGACTGCCACGCTGGGGTACAAAAGACGAGGGACACGTTTCATTGGATACACCAGCTGACATGTCGAGAAGCTGATCTCAATGGCTTTCGTGTTGTAAGTTTCTTAGTCCCTCAACACCTCATTTACCTATCCCTTCTAACCACGAGCTCAGCCTTGAAGCACAATATGTGACTAAGTAGTCTATTATCTGTTAGTTTTTGTATTCCATAATGTGTTGTACTTCGTTTGTTCAGTATCTTGTCATTTTGTATCAAAGCATACAAGTTGAAGTGTGTTCCTCACTTGCAACTAATGTATACTGATGATGCGCAGGTCTGTTAATAGCAACCAAGGTTGACATCCAAAGTAGCGTCAAACGCTGTCTATTCGTGATAGTTGCTTAAACCACACTTACTGCTGTCCTGAAGCAACCAAAAACCCTTATTACCAAGATCTCAACATGCGGTTTCGCATAAATACTTCTTCGGATATCAGACCAGTTGCAGGGTGCGTCAAGGCGGAAATAGTTCGTCTGAGCTCTTTAGCAGCTCTGATGAATAGCAAGTCTGGGCTCACTTGTGAACGTACGAACAATGGTGAACGTTTGTTTCAACTGTGCGCCGAGCAGCGGCTGTTTCTTAGTAGGCACAGTAGGCGCCGCAGTGTCATTTGGTGTGCTCCGATTGCTGGCCAACGAGGGACTTAAATAGACCATGATGTAATAAATTTCTAATGGTGCAAATTCATGCTGGACTGCCGCTCTTCCGGGAATACGTGCATCGACTTTGAACAAGTCGCTGATTAGGGTGCCGATTTTCAGTGAGGTTCATTAAGAAGCGTAACAAATATGGATATGGTTAATGCAGTCCCGTCTCAGCGAGGCGGGTTCCTATACGTCCGGTAAGGCGTATTAAATGTTCCCTCGACTGGTAACCGAGAAGTTATCCCATGCTTCAGTTAATCAGTATTACTAAGACGCTCTGCATATCAATGACCTCGAGTTCAATTGAAGTAATATCCAGGTAGCCAAGTCTGACGCGGAAGCGTCTGCTTGCGACACCACCAGTCGTCACCGCGCCAGTCAATGAATATCTAAGTGATAGACGGGCCTGTTGGAATGCAGAAAGCTCCCTGGAGGCTCTGGGCACAACGCAAGCAGACGGACAATTAGCTGTGAATTAAGGCGAAGCCTGCGTGTTGACAAGAAAGCCTGGTGGACCAGTAGGGCTTAAAAATTGGAGTAGGCAGGAATCGTAGGCAATTAACACAAACTCTTTCAGCTGATTCGTACTAATGGTCGCAAGACGTAGTATCCGTGGAATAATTAAGAAAAGTGTACCTGTTAGAGCCCAAACACGGAATGTGGACGCAATGCATTAGGTAAGCTTGAAACAATGTGCTATGGACCGCAATGATTGGTCATTGAGAGAAATGAGCGCTTCATCGAACGTTAATAAAAAAAAGTCGGACTACCAGAATCCCTATTGGTAACCAGCAAAAGCATCGGCAGTACGTCGACATATCGTAGTAACGTTTCGCTGCAATGCGACCACCACCAGAGGCACGTGGGCCGTATATGTCGCGACGCCGCCGGTACCTACGTCGACTGCAGTCAATCGACATTAATACAGTGGCAAACCGCCAGTACAAACTACTGACGTACTGCTATTGATGAAAAAAAATCAAAAGGCCAGTTGGTGAAGATGAAGGGGTTAGTAAAGACAAAAAGCGAACCAGCAGAACGACAAACAACACAGTTTCACATATAAAAGCAGTCACTACAACAAGATAGAAGAAAAGTGCCCGTGTTATCAGATACTCAGCTTGTTAATATTACAAGGTTGGAAGGCCCGGCAATAGAGTAAGCGTCAACACAGTTTCCCGAAAGGAATTCCACCTACTTGAAAAACAGATTCACAGTATATAAACACAAACATCGGAATAGGTACTAGCGATGGGAAAAAACTTACGGAAAATATGGTATCCATGGACTATGCTTCACATTGGAACTTCATACAACTAGAAAGCAGAGTTGCAAGAACGAAGGGGAACAGTGAAGTGTGTTGGCAAACATGACAACAAAAAGGGTTAACAAAAATACCTTTATCGGAGAATGTGTGACACCGGTAAATGTAGAAAAGAAATAAACTATCCATTTCAGTTATCAAGCAGATTTTTGATCGATTTTTACAAAACAGATGTGTCTTAACTAGAAATTTGGGAACGGCAGTTGTACGTTGTCGAAGTCAAAAGAAAGCCTAAAGTAAGAACTATTCAAGTTCGGTATGTAGCTATTTTCGAGTGTGTGAATCTTGGAAAGAACGCGCAGTGAAGTAGTAGCCTAACTCAGAAAAAATCAAAGAAAGTGGAATTACTTTTATTCAGATTAAAAAGACCGGGATTATGTGTAAGCTGTAAGTAGCAGGGGATTTATTGGGTGTTTTGTGAATATTCGTCGCAGTTAGATTCAGGCAGACAGCCACCACACCTCCTCTACTGTCACGCGTGGTGAGGCGCAGAGGACAGGGCTGGCTCCCCAAAAAATCCCCTACTACTTACAAATATATATATATATATATATATATATATATATATATATATCGTGCGTGGGGTTGGCAGAACCCGATTCCACGGGGACACCTCCTACAGGATGCCTGCGCTTACAGATGGACCATGGATGACTTGCGCTGCACCACACACAGTTCCACCCACACACGCTATATTCAGTGTAAACTCAAAAGAATAAGACCAGGAGGCATGTGGATGGCAGCCACATTTCATCAAAGGAACCGATTCATACTTCTTTAATATGTACAGTAACAGCATCCATGTCTAATTGGGAAGTCATGCGTATAAGATGTAAACAAGGCGGTGGTTTGGTCGTGGTCCGTTCCCCACTAGATAAATGGAATCACTCATTGAAGCTAGCACCGTCACAAATACAGTGCACCCCGTCCGCTCCAGCAGACGAACTATCTCCAGGAGGTGATGAGTAATAGACGGGCTGACATTTTACCAACATTCAAATAAAGCGAAGTCAAAATGGGGATATCAAACAACAGCCAACTCCTGAAATGCAAGAAAGTCAACATGCAGGCACAAGTACAGACTAACTGCAGCGATGATGTGGCGCACGTATCATAACAACCACTATACTGGACTGTGTTAGTAAATGGAATGGAAGCAGACACAGTGTAGTTAGTAAGTACGGAGTTGGCATAGCTCTGTCCAACTTGTGCAGACTTCGCCAGGCTTACCTGAGACATACAATCACTGTGCTGCCACTCGGACTGCGCTAGGAAACAAAGAGCCATTTCCAGGATATAGATGTCAAGCGACAAGGAACCAAGTGAGGTCTACTCAGGACACTGATGCATCTGCTTTGTACGCTGCAGTGAACCCACTGAACTCGCCTCATGACACAACTAGCTTTATCGTGTCGTGCCGCATTGAACCACCTATGCTCCGCAGTTGCTGTGGCAGTTACCGAACAAACCCATACTGACACCAACTGAGATTCTCCCAGGGTACCATCACTGGGCGACAACTCGTTTGCCTTGTCAACATCCACCTTCCTTCATGGTTCATGCTATCCTATTAAGCTACAAAAAAGAATGTGTAGAAGGCATGTTTCACCTTGGCTGAGTCAGTAAAAGAAATCTTGCTAACGGTCAGTCTTCTTTCTCGTCTGAGTCTCAGCGCAATCGGTGTTACGTTGCGCGTATTCGTCTCCAGTCTTAGCTCGCGTATACGTATGGCGGCTAGGTTAGCCCGCAACGTTACGAATTAGAATGGCTACTGTGCACGCGTGCAGTAGTATATATGAAGAACGTTCGTCCATCCCAACTAAAAGTCGAAACAATCAGTACCCGTTATACCACTTACGAACGCTGCGTTGATGCTGATTAGCTATTCAACTGACTTGCTGCCCCTTCTATGTTGGAGCCGCGAGGCTCATCAAGCCAGCTAGGCTGATACACCATGCGCTCGAAGTTCATGGGCTATTCACAATTAACGCCTGTCGATTGCGAACCGGAAGTTTCTTCCCCGCAAACAGCAGGGATTTCTAATACACCCGGACAAGCGCACTCTTCATATGCTCACGACATTCGCAGCGGTCCACTGCTATCGCCTCCCAACACCGGAAATAAACAGTAGTTAGTGATAAACTCATCTTGATCATGTCCTGGTAACAATTTCGGCTTTCTACCGCTCCGTTTCAATGAAAACAGTTAGCCATAAAGCAACTGTTTCAGTATCACCGTTGAATCCAAGCGGTGGACATGCCCGAACCACCACAGGTGACTCGGAAGAAGTATGCATTCCACTGCGTACATTCCACTTCGGTGGAGCATCTCCGTGTCTACAACTCGGTCACTCGATGTGCTGAATACAACACAGACACTGTTCCCTAAAATCGCTCCAACTAACGGAAGTCCGTCCGTTAAAGCGTCCAGCTTTTATTGCCGTAAAGAAGAACGAGTAGAACCATCCACTTTTATAGCATCAGCTTCGTCCCAATGATCAGGTCATGATTGCTCCATATCCGATTGTCCACCCTTCCAAACGCGGCAGCCGTCTTCGGTACGCGGATGCACAGTTCGTTCGCCATCTGCAGGTCGGTTAGAAGTACGCACAACAAGTCAAAAAACCTAGAGGTAGTTGCCAAAATGTCGTTCCCAATGGGAAATTGCGGCAAGTACACAGATACCACTTACAGAGAAGGCTGGAAAAACAGTCTTGTTTGTTATGATGGTCAGCCCGAACCGCTTTCCAAGCCAAAGTCGTCGAAAAGGGCTGCAAATCATCAATATTGTGTGCAGTGCAGTTCAGTTGAGCAACTATGATCCGAGCATTAAGTGCGGTGGATCCAGTTGCCACTACTCACATCACAAGAATAACAATAACTAACAACGGCAAGTACAATGTAGAGAAAAGGAAAGCAAGAAGAATACAAATTGGAATGGAAGGAAAATTAACAGCCAGATAAAAGAAGTCGGATACAGGAACGCCACTGACATCGTGGCTGCACGCACCAGCCTGACCAAACTTCTCAGCCAATCTATTCAACCTTCTATGCAATGTTATGGACTGGCCACCTCGAGGTTTCGACCGACTCGGTGCAGCCACGGCGTGTAATGCACGCTGTGAAAGCCGGCCATCGGGTGTACGGAGGACATGGCCTAGCCAACGCAACCGACTAAGGTCTATCAAACACTCGAAGGAAGCATCAGAAGGCTACTTGCCAAAAAGCAACTGGTGGACCTCAGTATTTCTCACCTGGTGTTCCCACCAAACGTGAGAAGTACTCCGCAAACATCGGTGATCAAACGCGGCCAAGCGTCTAATGTCTTCGTTGCGAACTGGCCCTGTCTCTTATCCATACCGTAACATTGGCCTTACGGCAGCGTTATACACCCTGCCTTACACCGACAAGCTGATATCCCACCGTCTCCATAGATGGCTAAGCCTCTGGAAAGCCACACTGACCTTGCTGATATGCGATGTCATGTGACCACCATAGGTGATACAGCTACCAAGGTAAGTAAACCGATCCACCGCTTTCAATGGCTGTTCGGTGATAGTTGGAACCGGAAGTGTCAATCACGTCCCGTAACAGTACTTTGCACTTCGAAGGGGCGAAGTACATGCCGAAGCGTGCAAAGCTACGCAGAAGTCTGTGAAATAGTGTTTACATAGCGAATGTATCAGCCCCAAGGAGAAGTATATCGTCTGCATACTCCAGGTTTGTCATTTAGTCACTTGGCGGAAATTCTACACCAGAATATGCTGTAAAAACCTTGTCATTTATGATGGTTTTTATCACAAAGTTGAAGAAAGGAGATACAGGACAACCCTGGCTAACCCTACTAGGCGTGGGGAACTCAGGAGACAGTTTCCCGTAGACCCTTATACAACCTCGGGAGTCACTGCAAAAAACTTAAGAATGAAAAGCAATGCAGCCGGCATGCCTTTCATGGATAAGCAGTGCCATAAGATGACGTAGGTCACAGAGTAGAAGACAACTTTTAAGTCAAGGAAAACCACCATAGTCTGTCATCTGTATGTGTATTTATGTTTTAACACTTAATGAAGAGTAAATATGTGGTCGATAAAACCAGGGCCAGGACGGAAGCCAGTCTGGCTTTCAGTGATTCGGTTCTCACGGGGACCAGTAACTCGTCAAAGAAGGATACATGTGAGAATGTTGGATGCAATGGGAATAAGGCTAATGCCTTGATGATTTTCGCGCAAAGTACAGTGACCCTTCTTGAAGATGAGCACGTTAGTAGATAGTTGTCAGTCTGAAGGCGCTTCTTTCGCGTCCGAAACCGTGTTGAAAAGATAAGCACGTTCAGTCAACAAAACGTCACCACTACCTTTAAGCAAAGATGGAGGAGGTCATCGGGTCCAGGAGCCTTCTTTCGTTTTAACATGGCGAGCTCATGTTGAACCTCTTCAAAAGTAGGAGATGTGACATTTAGTTCCCACGTCGGCTCAGACGATTCGGCAAACGGCACTGTCGCAGCAAGCCGGCTAAACTGCTCCGCAAAATATTCCGGAACTGTGTTCCGGATGAGCGGAAACAGCACTCAGCTGTTTCCAATAGTGTTGGCTCCCACCATTCCACTGGCCCTTGCAACTCACTAACGTTCATGGCCAGAAGTCGTTGCAGAGAGTTACGGATAGGCTGAAACTCAGTGCGCATCGGAACCAGTTTGCGCGCTTCAATCAAACTGATCAATGTCTCAGAGATCCATTCACCGTCGGATGCACAGCAAGCGTCAAAGGCATTCTTTATGGCACAACTGAGAAGATCTCAGTCAGCGTTCGGCTTACCAACCTCATTCAACACTGATAATTGGTGGGCCAGTTCGTTACGATATGGTTGAACCGTCGACTGCGAGTTCAAGTTACAGGTAAGAAGGTTAGAAGATAGGCGCATCTTAGAAGTGAGAAGAGTGAGCGCCAAGAGTGCGCGCTTTACAGCATGGTCGGAATCTAGGCACGTGCATCAA